GGGGGGGGGGGTAGGGTTTAGGGTTTAGGGGGTTCCTTATTGTATTTATAGTATACTACCCAAACCCTAAACTCATAAGGACCTTTAGCGGGGGTTGGGTTTAGGGTTAAGGGGGCTCCTTATTATATTTATATTATACTACCCAAACCCTAAACTCATAAGTACCCTTAGGGGAGTAGGGTTTATGGTTTAGGGCTTAGGGTTGTCGGAGGGGGGGGTCGGGTGCCTTAACCTATGAGTATAATTCCACTGCCCCTGTCCCCTTACCGCCCTAAGGGTCCCTATGATAAACCGGAGGCTCTTGGCAAGTTTGAGCACGTCAACAAGAAGGCCATCGACCAGCCCGGTTCCCGAGGTCTTTGCTTCCCTCAGAACCCAGCGCCTTAAGGAATAGTCCGTCAATCAGAGTAACAGGCTTTATGGGTTAGTTCTCTTAATTAGGGTCCCTTTTCGGGTCCCTATAAGGGTGTCATACTATTTTTGGGGGACCTAAAAAGGGACTCTAAATTAGATAACTACCCATATGTTTTTCAAGCTAGTGCAGGTGATTGCACGTATATTCCTCTTTCGGTCAGCCTTCAGCGCTGTGTAAGGACTTACCAGTAGGGCCTTTGCGGTCTGGGATTGTGGTTTTAAGGATGTGCGTTTACACTGCGGGTTTTGTTGCAAATCCCGTTTGACCAGACTCTAAACCCCAAACCCCCAAACCCCATAAACCCCCTAAGCCCGAAAAATTAAATAGACCCCACAAGCCTTTTTATGAATGGCAAAACCTAGCATCCTGCACTGAGAACCTGAAAAGCCCGAAGCCCTGAGCACCGAGAGAATGCTTCAAGTCCGGAGTTCGCCTAGAGGTCAAGACCCTAATATGGCTTCTTGAGTTAACTTCCTTAACTAGAACCTGAATCCCAGAAATTAGACCCCAAATCTCAGTCCATACAAGCAAAACCCCAGAACCTTTTCCTCTTTAGGGTTTCGGGTTTAGGGTTTCGGTTCCTTACCTGTAGTCTCCATTGCAAGTTCCTTGTGGGGGTTCCGTTATAGGATCCTAAGTTTAAGATGGGTTTAACCGACACAACGAACTAAGGCTACAATGGAGACTACAGGTAGGTGTTTGAGTTCGCTTCCTCAACAAGAACCCAGGAAGACTTTACGCCTAAGCCAGTGGGCACTGAGGGTCCATGTACTCATATAGCATGTAAATGGTGCTTAAAGTACCTAAATAAGGACTACATTAAGGCCAATGT